AGGCATTTAAAATGAATTATCCTGTAATCTGGTCTATTTTCTATATATTAAAAAAGAAGTTAGTAATTCGATATGTTAATAAAATAGTACAGGTATTATTTAATAAATCAACTGGCAGAATTAAAACAAACTTTTAATTGTATTATTCCAAATCTTTTCTGTCCATTTGTTAAACAACAAGAAATTAACTTTATCTACATTCGCAGAATAACAGAAGTATATTTTTTGATAAATTAATCAGTAATTAATTCAATTGGCAGAATTTTATTGAAAGCAAAATTATTCCTATTCTTTTTTTTTATGATAAATCCCATATGTTATGGGACTCACTATCTCTCTCTCTCTCTCTCTCTCTCTCTCTCTTTCTCTCTCTCTCGATTACATTGTTATGTAATTACATATCCTACAGACATCCATCTTTGAATGCACTTAAATATCTCATAAGCGAACGTAAGCATCCTCCAGTACATCTTTTTACATAGATGAACCAAACCCTTAATTGGTATTTGGTATCTGAAAATTCCTCGAGATATATATCCAACATAACTAGCATTAAATATTGCTATGTAGGCTGTTATAATGCCTACAGGTATGTAGGCAGGTATGGGCAGGTATAATACTTATTGTGTAATGTCTATTTTCTAGTTCTAAGGTCCAGTTTCACGTCGTTTAACTTTAACCTTCGATTAAACTCACTCCTCGTCTTCACTCAAATTCTCCGCTCGAGGAGAGCTTCGCCTTTTTGAATCGCGCGCGAGAAAACTCGAAGGGCACCTCAGAGACCCTTTTTATCGACGAAATATTATCGACACTCGCTAAAATTTAATATTCCAGATTAGCGGATGGTAAGTTTCAGAAGAAGCGTTTCCAGCGCGCGGTATTAGCGGACTCCCTGGGGCTCCCTCCGTAGACCTTTCAAATTGTCTTCCGTTAGTCCTGCAAGAGAGTCGTCTCTCCCGAGACAGCCGGTCGGGAAACCGGCGGAAATGTGATGACAGAAGGAATCTTGTGAGAAAGAGATTAAGTCTGAGGCAAATGTCTAGCGGAAAATCGGCGAGCGGCATCGCCACCTTTGGGAAGAAGGAGTACGACGACTATCAAAGATTTCTCTCGTCGAAGAAAGAATGGCCCGGCATCAGGGCTGGTAAGGGCGAATTTATTCTTGGCTGAGGTTTCAAATCCATGGGCAAGCGATAGCGTTAATTATAAATAAGTAGTGAAGTCTGCAAAGATTACATTGAGACTACATGATATGTATATTTTTTAAAGATTTTTATACATTGGGTTTGTTTTCTACTGCTGAACTGGTCTGCGCTAGTTCAGAGTTTATCTGTTTTCCTTCCAATGTGTAATAAAGCAGTAGAAAACAGACCCATTGTATTTAATGTACTATTATATTGCCAAAAATGATTTATTTCAAGTTTATGTGAATCTCCTTCCAATATCTAATATCAAATTCTAATTTTAGCTTCGCGAATGACGTTGAACACATCAATGCTCATCATGGAGCTGTACCGACTAGTACCCTACAAGGAGGGTCGCTATGTGCAATTTCACCCATTCAACATGCCTCTGATTAAAATTCGTAGGATCGAGATAGTCGGGATCGTCATGAACGTTAAGCGCAATCTCAATAATCTATTTCTGACCGGTAAGGCGAGAGACGAGGTTGTTAACAGCAAATTTATGTGCTACGAAGAAACGCTTGAACTTTAAATTAAATTAAATTCTATTGCAGTTGAGGATGGGACGGGAGTGGTGCAAGTTAATTACAAATTGGACCAATACATGTTTGAGGTGAAGCAACGGCAGGAGATCGATGAGAAGTACAGGAAGCAAGCTGGAAATTTGAGGACCAACGAGACAATAGTGAACAAAAGCGGTCCGAAGAAATTTCCCGAGACACGTCCAGAATTCCGCTATCCACGTGATGTGTCTCTACACGATATGGCTGTAAGAGTTTAAAAGAACATACACGTAAATTAGTAATGTCTATCCGCACGGTGGCTATCACGTGCTTCAGTCATTTTTACTTTTGTATCAATAATGGGCCAATTCTTTAGTGACACAAGTCGACACAAACATCGTTCTATCCTTGGCATTCAATGAATAACAAAGACAGAACGACACTTGTGTCGATGCTTGTGTCACTAAAAGGAATTGGCCTATTAATCGGTAATCCATTTAATTATTTTAAACTTGATATAAACTGAAAGGAAGAGAATATTGCTGAGAAGCTCGTTTATTACAACATATACAAATGCAATCGCTTTTAATGCTAGGTCCTGGAGAACGAGTGGTGGCTGGAAACGAACGGTGGTTTGTCGGGCAAAGAAATCCAGCCGTTCGACTACGTACACGTCACCGGATTCCCGTGTCTGGACACGAAGTTCCAAAAGATACCGGAACAAATTACGGAGGAGTTTATCGAACACGCAAGAATGACCGTGTTCGCGGTGTCCGTCGCGTGCATCTCCGAGGAGATGTACAATAAGAAGTTACTAACGTGGATAGGCACCACTGTTCGCCAAAGGTACACGGAGAATAAAGGCTGTACCGCGAAGAATAAGTGGTGAAGCTTGCGAGAATTATATTCAAACCATGTATTTTTAAAGATTTTTATATATTATATTAAATACTGTTATATTGCCAAAAACAAGTTTATTCAAAGTTATGGGAATCTTCCTCGAGGTCTGACACACAATATTGAATTCCATGCGGAGTTGCAGCAGCAGTTTCAATCTCCATTCACAAGCCTGTACCATCTTTTTTTTCCCATGCCTTTTTCCAAAGCATCCAAGCACACTATCCGCATATATTTTACGTTGATTGTAGAAAGCGCGGCAGAGGCAAGAGGCGGCTCGAGAATCTCTGAAAATCTAAACGAGAATTTACGGGCCGAATGCGAGAAAGAGTGCCTAGTGCGGACCGTTCTTGACAGATGCCGCCGCTCATCCGATTCCTAGCCTTTCGGCTTCAAGCACTTCAAGCTAATCAAGCCAGTTTAGCCTTCCGCTTCGACACCCCGCCAAGACGTGGGGCGCGCGCCGTCGCTGGTCGTTCCTGTCTGCCCGGTCTGCCGTTCGCGAGTCGACGTCCGAGTGCGCGCGTTAACGCTTCGCCCTGCCCGAGGATGGCCGCGATGTTGTCCAACTGCTCGCGGTTCGCGCCCCGCGTGATCACGCGGAGCAGGGTGTTGCGGGCCGAGGTGAGTACGCTTTCCCCTTCGCGCCGCGTTGCCCCGGTTCCCTCCCTCGCCCGCCTATCCACGGCAGCTGGTGATCAATCCCGGGTGCGGGATTAATTCGAGGCAATTGAGAGGCGTGCTTGCCGCCGCGAGTCACGCGGTTCCACTTGCTCGCGAGGAACTCGCCGGGACCGCTCCGAGCCCTCCTCACCGCGACGACGGTTACATAATGCACGCATCTCCCGACCCGATAATATCCTCGTGATCCACCGTCGCCTGTCAATCAAACGAGAAACGTTTCCCCGGTCAGGACGAATCGGTCCTCGACGAGCACCTGGATATCGCAGTCCTTTTGATTGACATTTGACTCTTTCTTTCTTGCTCTTTTTCACGACGGAAACAATGACTATTTTTATCCCCGGCAAGGTCGCCGCATTTCATAAGATCAATCGCTCGTTTTTCTGACTGAAAATCAGGTCGGTTTCTAACCGGTCCGCCGAACACGTCATTGCCGGAATAAAGATTAACTAGATCCTACGTTCGTTCTTTTTGCAGGTTGCGAGATCGTTGTGTAGTCAAGGTAAGGTTAATGAGAGAGAGAGATAAGACACTGATGAGATATAACGAGGATTTTGAAAGCGACAGCTATAAAGAAACAGCAAGTCAGTTGGAAGAGCTCGTCAGCGGAAACGATTAACTGTGATAAATCATTTTTATAGGGCGCACTGTAGTTGTCCATGCCGAACGTGTGCCCAACGCCAAGGCTCCGTTGTAAGTAGCACTGTATGTACGTGCATTATTTTGTATTCGCACACATATATTTTTGATTCTTAAACGTGCCGTTAATATAAAGAGCTTCGTAACAACTCTACGTGTTTGGAAATCTTTATTTTTCGTTACCGCACTAATTACTTTCAATTCTTAAACCCAAGACAAAGGTAGAATAAGAAAGATTAAAGTGTTCCTTTACTTGGCAGATGCAGAAAGTACAAGGCAAATCATTACTGGATAAATCAGGCGAGACATATACGTTCTACTTCGGCGCTATGTAAGTGCAGCGTTTTATGTATCAAAGATCCAAATTAATTTATTCGTGCGTAATTTGTATTATTTAAACAGGGGAGATCAGGGAAGTTGTGGTGCCTGCGTTTGCCGAGAGCGTGAGCGAGGGCGACGTGAGGTGGGAGAAGAAGGTCGGCGACCAGGTGAAGGAAGACGATGTCCTCTGCGAGATCGAAACGGACAAGGTGCGCATCCCGAGCGATTTCTTTTTTCTTCCAGTTGTAACATGAGTTAGGAATAATCGCGATTATTCCCACGTCGACGTTTAATCGCTTGTTTGCCCATAGACTTCGGTTCCTGTACCGTCGCCCGGGCCCGGCGTCATAAAGGAGCTCTTCGTTAAGGACGGCGACACGGTGAAGCCGGGACAGAAGTTGTGCACCATCGACATCGGCGCGTCCGGCGGTGCTGCAGCTGCACCCGCGGCGAAGGAACCGCAGCCCGCTGCGGCCGCGCCGGCGGCGAAGGCACCTCCACCGGCCGCGGCACCACTGCCGCCACCACCCCCAAGCGCGGCTGCTCCGCCGCCGAGACCCGCGGCAGCGCCGATTCCGCCTCCCGCCGCTCAACCACCGCCTCCACAGCCGCCTACCGCGTCCATGCCAGTCGCGGCTATCAAACACGCCCAGGTAAATATAGATAACGCATTGTTATTTAACTTGGAAGTGTTACGAGAACGTATGCGCTTGCAGTCGCTGGAAGGCGCGAAAGTTCAGCTACCTCCCGCCGATTACACGCGCGAGATAATCGGCACTAGGACAGAACAGCGAGTGAAAATGAATAGGATGCGTTTGCGTATCGCGGAACGTTTGAAGGATGCGCAGAACACGAACGCTATGCTCACCACGTTCAACGAAATTGACATGAGGTAATTTCAAGCATTATCGCTTGTTTATATCGCACGCATCTCAAATATTACAATTAACGACTTCATCTGTACCGAGATGTGCGTACAATGTATTCTTATATCTTTTTTATTTAACATACATTATTAATTTACAGTCGCATTATGGAATTCCGAAAGGAAAAGCAGGAAACGTTCACGAAAAAATACGGTATCAAGCTCGGGTTTATGAGCCCGTTCGTCGCGGCCAGTGCCTACGCCCTGAAAGACCAACCCGTGGTGAACGCCGTGATAGACGGCACCGATATAGTGTATAGGGATTACGTAGATATTAGCGTGGCGGTCGCGACGCCGAAGGGACTCGTCGTGCCGGTACTTCGCAGCGTGGAGAACAAAAACTTTGCCGAGATCGAGATCGCCTTGGCCGCCATGGGCGAGAAGGCTAGAAAAGGAAAGATCACCGTCGAGGATATGGACGGCGGCACCTTTACGATAAGTAACGGCGGCGTTTTCGGTTCGCTGCTAGGAACTCCCATCATCAATCCGCCGCAGAGCGCGATTCTCGGTATGCACGGCGTCTTCGACAGACCGGTCGCCGTTAAGGGACAGGTAAAGTTCACCGAAATTTACATTGGGGTCCACCTTGAATTTTTCATCTTACAATTTAAATTTTTAATTTCTTAATTTTTTAATCTTTTAATTTAAGATCTCTGAATTTAAATTGTTAAAGCCTATAATTGCAACTCGTATCGCAAAATCACCGTCGAACGTCTGTATTCCCCAGGTTGTTATTCGGCCAATGATGTACGTAGCTTTGACGTACGATCATCGGCTGATCGACGGACGCGAGGCTGTGATGTTCCTGAGGAAGATCAAAGACGCCGTGGAGGATCCCAGAGTTATCTTGGCTGGCCTTTAATAACTTTGAACACGTTTATCGCGCGTGTTAACGATACGCACGATCACCGTGGAATAAGCAAGAGCGCGACGCGAGAGTCCGGAAACTCGGCAGAGAGTCTTCCGGGAATCTCTAATCATCCCTCTGAGAAACATTTCACGATATCCTGTTTTAAATACCATCAATCTCCAACCCGCACGTGGAACGATGTGACAAGTGCAGTCACGAATAACTGATAAGCACGTGAACTAGTCCGTTATTCTGAATCTTTGCAGCGAGAGTATTTTAAGGCGTATTTATAGCCTCGTATTTTACAGCCTGTACATCGCCGGACGACGTAACTTTTATTATTGTATTGGATTTTCTCAACCCGATAATTGATTGCCGAATCGATAATCGCGTTCTCGCGAGCGCACTCGTATTTCTGTCGCGCCGCGCCGATGTCGATCGGTGTCGAAGGGCGGAGCGCAGAGAAGCGAAGCCGAGAGGGAGGGCTAGAAGGTACTTATCCCAAGTACTTTAACATGTAGATCCACAAGCTAAAATAAAATCTCACCAATCTAAGTCTCTTTAGCCTTGTTGAATTGCGCGTCACACCGCGGCGTCGTAGGATAAGTAACGCGATTCGATAGATATATTTAAATACGCGGAAATGATATTGTTACCGTTTGCACTTGTACCGAGCATCTCGGGGAAGGGTAGGGAGGATCTGTCGCACGTAGAGAATTGCTTAAGGTGTACCAACCTAGACACGTGCCTATGTCTGGAGATTTTTATCATTTCAGTCCTTAAATAAGTTATAACGCGAATTAAAATCAAAGATAAAAATATTTGTCTTGTATTATATTTTTATCTTTAACTTTAATTTGTGTTAGTCCCGGTCTACAATAGGTGTTTTAAGCCCTAAACCCTGAGAAATTGACCAATCACAGTCAATTATTCTCCTCAAATTCAACTATGATTGAACAATTTCTTAAGGCTTAGGGCTTAAAACACCTATTGTAGACCGGGACTTATACTTATTTAAAAACTAAAATGATAAAGGTGTCCAGACATAGATCTTAAGTGTCCCGGCATTGGTACATTTACCTTTAAGGGAAAGCGGAACATTCGCGATCTTGTAAATCAAAAGGTTGTTCGTTAAATAAAAAGCTAAGTCAGCACGTGGGGCGAGACGTGTTTCCGTGACGGTGCACGGCACGTGGAAGAGACTGGGCGTTTACGTATAAGAGTAGAAGTAGCACACTGCCAAGTTTTCGCGACGAACGTTTCGAGTCGCCGTTCGGGTATTTCATACGAATTCCGCGTTCGCGTACTGAGATAACAGAGCGTTTATCTCTCGACGTTTCTCTCACAGTGTTTGCATCGTCGGACCACAGCTTTATGCGTGAAGATGTGCGAGTGCTCTCTTAGTCCTATTGTAAGATACATTGTATGTACATTCAATACTGTGTATTAACGAGAAACCGCATATAAAGCACGCTGAGTATAAGCATCGAGTCTCGTTTCATTTTTACGATGCCATTGGCGCAGATCGTAATTAATCTCGCCGGTAACACTCGATAGTAATTATTTACAGTTATACAAATGTTAAAGTTTTTATTTTTTAGGGACTTCTTAAAAAAAATGTTTTTCTTTATACTCGCTCATTGCGAAACGAGGAAATGAAGGATACGCGAAATTCTCACAGGCTTCTTGGAACGATCGTTTCTCTTGTCTGTAAATTAAGTACGTTTCATATCTTTAATTCTGTTGAGCTAATAAATATAATCTTACATATGCAAAGTATCTGGAAAAGCATGAATCGCCTGGGAGAACTTTCCTTCGAATTTGAATATTTATTCTTTACCCGCGATCGAGACTCGCTATCGATCAGTAACCGGAGGGCGGAAGTCGATCTCTTCTTATCGACTGCGCACAATCGAGCCGCTGGCGAATGACTCCGCCGTTTCGAAGAGCAGTGTCAAAACCAGGTTGAGAGCGTCGTGACGGAGGATGGTGAGTCTCTGTCAAAATAACCAAGCGAGTATTATTTAACGGGGGGACGTGGAGCGGCTTTGCTATTTGGCGTAAAAAGCAGTTGCGTGTTGTTACTAATTTTCCAAAATCCGTTCTGCTCGTCGATCGTCTGGTTTAGGTTAACCATCCTTCAAATGTTTGGGCCCCGTCTTTTAAATTTCAGCAAGAAGCATTTGATTTTTCTCGAGCGACTACGAAAGATGTTTCTTGTAACGCACCGTTTGTTTTATCAGCGAGATTCTTTAACGACAATGAACTCCAACAGGGTCAGAATCAATCTGGGACCGGTGGCAGCGGTGGAGACAAGAAGGATGACAAGGACAAGAAGAAGAAGTACGAGCCGCCGATTCCCACGAGGGTGGGCAAGAAGAAGAGGCGCACCAAGGGGCCGGACGCGGCCCTGAAACTGCCTCAGGTGACCCCTCACACGCGCTGCAGACTGAAGCTGTTGAAGATGGAGCGCATAAAGGATTACCTGCTGATGGAGGAGGAGTTTATCAGGAATCAGGAGCTGCTGAAGCCGCAGGAAGAGAAGAACGAGGAGGAGAGATCGAAGGTGGACGATCTCCGTGGTACGCCGATGTCCGTCGGCACGCTGGAAGAGATAATCGATGATAATCACGCGATAGTGTCCACCTCGGTCGGCTCCGAGCATTACGTGTCCATCTTGTCGTTCGTCGACAAGGATCAGTTGGAGCCAGGCTGCTCTGTGCTGTTGAATCACAAAGTTCACGCTGTTGTTGGCGTCTTAGGGGACGATACGGATCCTATGGTTACGGTGATGAAGCTGGAAAAGGCTCCTCAGGAGACCTACACTGATATTGGAGGTATATGTCATATATATTCTATATTTGCCTAAACATTTTGCATTTTTCTGCATACATTCTGGTAAATCGGTAATTATAATTTGTTATAAAATTGCGTCGAGATTTATAATCTTCAGTTGAGAGCTTCAGAAAATAAAATTTCAAATTAAGTCTTGATAAGGACTCGATTCAAGATTTAAGCATAAAATTTGGTTTTGAAATATATGTAAATTTAAGTGACACGACTCATATGAAAATAGAATGTTCAGTTTGATTTGATGTTAGTAAATTGTTGAAGAAATGCTGCTTTTGAAGAAGCGGGTCGCGCAAAAAATATTAAAGAATATACGACTCGTGGATATTTTCAGGTCTCGATACTCAAATTCAGGAGATTAAGGAATCCGTAGAATTACCGTTGACCCATCCGGAATATTACGAGGAGATGGGTATTAAGCCACCGAAGGGTGTCATACTTTACGGACCACCCGGCACGGGGAAGACGCTGCTCGCCAAAGCTGTGGCCAATCAAACGTCGGCTACGTTCTTGAGGGTCGTTGGCTCGGAACTTATACAGAAATATTTAGGAGACGGTCCAAAGCTCGTGAGAGAGCTTTTCAGAGTTGCCGAGGAGCACGCCCCTTCCATCGTTTTTATAGACGAAATAGACGCGGTGGGAACGAAAAGATACGACAGCAATAGCGGCGGCGAGAGGGAGATACAGAGAACCATGTTGGAATTGCTTAATCAACTGGACGGTAAGCTAATTTCTTATACAAAATTCATACGTAAAAATCTCTTCAGATTCGATATTATTTGAAAAATTATTGTTATCAGGATTCGACAGTAGGGGCGATGTGAAAGTGGTTATGGCTACCAATAGAATAGAGACCTTGGATCCCGCTTTAATTAGACCGGGTCGTATCGATAGGAAAATAGAATTCCCGCTACCGGATGAGAAAACTAAAAGAAGAATTTTCAATATTCACACAAGTAGAATGACTTTGGCGCCTGACGTGAATCTGGCGGAACTGATTATGGCAAAGGATGATCTTTCTGGCGCGGACATCAAGGTAGGACGATCTTGTTTAGAAATATAAATTCTTGCTTTGTATAAATTTCGTACTTTCGCGCACAACTGTAAGTATCTTTTTGTTGCTTCATTAAAATGGATTCTTGAAACTCTCGTTTCAGGCAATATGTACCGAAGCTGGTTTAATGGCTCTACGCGAACGACGTATGAAGGTTACCAGTGACGATTTCAAGAAGTCCAAGGAAAGTGTGCTGTATCGCAAGAAGGAAGGTTCCCCCGAGGGATTATATTTATAAAAAAGAAAAAAAACATTTATCGTCAATAATATCTGTATGATTGAGTCGCGGAGTTATATTCGGGTGTCTCAATAAACATTTCTATATAGGAAATCAATTTTTTATAGCGATATATCAACAGAAATATTAATGCATTCTGTTAATAATTTAACCAATTATATTACAAAATACTACTTAAATGTGTCTAAAGAGTCGAATTGATTCCGATGCCCGATTTCTTCAGGACCGGTTCTAAGTACTCGTGTAGCCTGTTTACAACTCCCGCAGAACGTACTCTCTGCTCGTTCAGGACCTGGGAGAACGAGGCGTTCTCAAATGGATCGGAGGTCTTGTTTCGCGACTCCACGTCGCATATCCAGCACGCGCCGCGCCTGGTTTTGTCGAGAGCGACGGCCACGTCCGCGGGATGCTCCGACATGGTCGTCGATGCGGCAGCCAGACCCTTGTACCGTCCCAGCGCGAAAGCGATCTTGAAACCGTCTTTGTAACCGATATTGAATCCCTCTTGCAGCACAGAGTCCGCTCCGTCTTGCACCCCTTCTCTGTAGCCGGTCTAAAAATATGAATTGTCAAATGCAGAAAGCGGCGCGGCGAGCAATCGCGACATAAATAAGTAATCGCGTCAGGGACTCTGGGGTCGCGATAAGTTCTAATGATATTTTGCGTACCTTGAGAGCAGCGTCCACGACGCGTTCCCAGCATTTCGAGGCGACGTACAGAGAATCGTCTGCCGCCGAATGTGGATCGTACTCCGTCATTTGCAATGTTTGCATTGCGTTGTGCAATCCTTCCATTGTGCGATTATCCTACCTGGGTTATTTCCCTGAAACAAGGAAACAATTGTTATGAGGTTCAATAATTTTATGACGATTTATTTGAAGCCAAATCTTCAACGGAAACCTTTGTTTCTCCACAAAATAACATCGAATGAGTACATTTTTATTAAAATTTAAGGTAAGAAGGTTAAAACAAGGTTTATCGCAGATTCAGCTGTATAATTGCAGTGGTTGTGTAATTGCAGAGCTCTAAATATTGGTGATAATTACGCGTGGAGTCAACAACAAAGAAATCAAACGGTTACGTGTGCGTGAGGTTGACGTTTCTGCTGACAATCACTGCCGTACATACAACACAACGACGAAACGGATGTTAGGTTAAAGTGCGATTAGACGTCAACGCAATTTGGGAAAAAACACGTTGGAGAAAGGGTACCGAGCAGCGCGCAGAGAATATCTGAAAAATGTCGGGACGTAGAAAGAAGGACAAGAACAAATTGCTGCGGAGGAGGCCCCGTCACGTTCTCGGCAAGGAACAGAGATACCATCAAATGAGAGACCGGGAGTCCGAGGGATCGGACAAGGAGAATGACGAGACAGGTTAGATTCG